CTCTCTATCTCTCTCTCTCTCTCTCTCTCTATATATATATATATATATATATATATATATATTTAAAATTTTAATGATGATCTTTTTTAATATATGATTGTCGATTTTCGTCAAAAATTCTTACATTTTTTATAAATATAAATTTGTCAAAAATATTCCATCAGTAATATAACTTTTCCTATGAATTTTTTTCCATAAGAAATATAAATTTTCCGATAGATGTATATTTGTCAAAAATTACCGACGGATAAATCCGTCAGAAATATAAATATAAATTTTTTGACGGATTTGTATCTGTCGGAAATTATCGACGGATAAATCTGTTGGAAATATAAATTTTTCGAAAGATTTATATCCGTAAGAAATTATCCGTCAGAAATATAAATTTGTCAACAGATTTTTTTTCCGTCGGTAAAATCCGTCAAAAATATAAATTGTTCGACAGATTTGTACCTGTCAAAAATTATCCATCAGTAATTTTCATTTTTCTTATAGTAAAAGTTATGAGTATGACTAGGCCTAGGAGGCACTTAATCCTCCAAATTTTCAAGGGCCATTAGGAATGCAATGAACACCAGACAACATTCGATGCTCTTCTATTTCGACCCTACCTTCGGTTGATTTGTTTCCATGGGGTAGGCTATTAAAAAAATAAAACTACTTCATCTTGCATAAAATAAAATAAAAAAATCTTAATTCATAATCATGAAGTTTTAAAATATTCACTTCTTTTATTATTATTAACTTATAACTAGGTTCTGAAGATTTTTTCAAATTTAAATAAAAAAATCATATATAAATTATATATTCATATGTCTAGTTGATTCATAAACCAAATAAGTCAAACTATCTACAACTTATGCTTGATTCATATTTATCAAATTCAATATATCTTTAGTTTAAGTTCAATTCATTTAATTCATGAACTAAATTCAACGAATTAATATCGAATTTTAAACTATTTTTGAGTTAGTTCGATTCATTGTTACCGCAATCCAATGGCCTAAACAAAAAGTACACTTAAATCAAAATCCTTAAATGTATTGGAACTTCCTTATTCAAGCGGCATCGGTGCATCGCTCTTCCTCTTTGAAATCTCTCATGAACATTTGAATAATAAACCTTTGCTCCTCCTTGTCTATTGTGTTAACATTTCTCTGTACTCCTTCTCCCTAAGGTCTCTGATCTCTCTCGGCTACTCCACTGCTCCTTCATTTATATGTTGTGTTTGCTCTCTAAACACAAGGAATTTGGTTATTTATCTGAACGCTTCTCTTTCGTATCTCTAGACTCTCATATTAATTGTCTAAACATATTTGCTTGCGTGTTCAATTTCCTCAATATTAGGGACTCATAGTTGGTTTCTTTCATCGATTTCTGAATTAGATAGGTTATGTAGCATTTACTGCTTTCAAAAGGAGTTTATTTTGCGTAGAGTTGAGTTTATTTAGGTTTATGCTATATTTGGCTAATTTTCTTATCACTTATTTTGTTTTGAAGACATGAAGTGAACAACACAAGTCGGGGCTCTAAAGAAGAATCCTCAGAGGACAATTTCTGAATTACGAGACAATTAATTACCCTTGATTCCATATACGAGAAGATTTTTCTATCCTTAATGGTACCCTAGAAGTTGTTATATCGATGCATTTTCCAGGTACTTTGAAAGTAAAGTATTTTTCCTCTAATCTGACCTTGATTGCAATCCCTGTGAATTTTAAGTCAATTACTTAAATCAGTGTGATGGAAACACTTTGTATCTAAAAATAAAATAAAGTACTAAAAAAATGTTGATTGAATTGCTGTCATTGTTTGTCCTTGAACCTCAAAGTCTTGATTTTAAGTCTTAGATTTGATAATTTTTTTTTAATTATTTTAACATTTTTTAATAATAAAAAGTATAATAATCAACTAAATGTGGAGATTAAGATATAATTATTAAAAGGGATATTTCTTTATATATTAGTATAGCTAATTTGGTTAGTATAGCTATTTTGTTCATTACAATATCAATACCAATATGATAGCTTCGCTAGAACGCCCCCCACGCCAAGGGGAATCCTTGAGTGGATTAGAAAGGTGGGGAGTGAGATCTTCCTTGGTGGAGTTAGTGTAGGGCAAGTGAAACATATTTTGAATGTTTTGGTTATGGAGAATATGGTGGAGTCATTCGCTATAATAAAATTTATTATTAGTGAGAATTATTTAATAATAATAAATTAATTATTCCTATTTTATTATTTAATAAAAATATTAATGACTAATATATAATAGTTACTAAAAATATATTTACATTACATCAAAATTTACTATTAGCGATGATTATTTATTAAAAAAAACTTAAGTTCTACATTAACTAGAGATAAGATAATTAAAGGTATATAAATGGATGATAATTCTTATCTTATAAGTTGGTTTTGTAAGATTGAGTTAGATCCATA